CCTCGCCGGAAATCGAGCTGAGGAGGGGTAGAGAGCGGCAGTGTTGTGGCGTCGCTCATAGTGAGGGTAGAGCACGATGACGTCGTTCACTGCAAAGGGAGAGGACAACAACATTGCTCACGGCGAGGGAAGAGAATGATAGCATCACTCACAGTGAAAGGGAGTGGACAGTGGCATCATTTGTTGTGAAGGAAGAGGACGATGGTGCGATTGATTGGGAAGGGAGGGGATGGCAGCGGTTGAGAGTGGGTTTATCCTCTTCCTTTACATTTCGCTGTGAGGGAAATGGGGATTTCGACTGAGAGTGGTGGTGGAAGAGGATAGACAGTGGTGGTGGTTATGTTTTGTTATTTGAAAGGGAATTAGGGATTTGGATTTAATGAACCCTTTTGTAAATATAGTCTTTCTGTTTTACAAAGGTGTTTTGAACTTGTTGCTGTTATTGGTATTATGAGTTTCAAGTCATTTTTAGTTTTGTTAAGTTGTACATCAAATGTTTACGGTGTATTGTTGAGACAATCTATGGAATAAAATTTTTCTTTTTAGGTATTTTGCCATATTTTAATTTCTCTAATAACTAGTTATTATTTGCACGTATTAGAAGATGTCTACTCTCTAATAACTGGTTATTATTTACACAAATTATCAATTTAAACAGGTTTTTTTAAATGTGCTGACATCGTCATGCTGTGTGATGACATCACTGGTCTAACCGGTTGGACCGTGACCTGGGCAGCAAAATGGGTTGTCCTCCGGTCCGGGTTTTAAAACAGTGGATATTATTGGCTTTAAATTATGGTATTACATAATCAAAATTAATCACAAAATTAAGAATTTATATCATTTCCCCTCAACCATTCATATCATTTCCATGATCAATGTCAAAATCTATATCTTCACTTATGTTATTATTATCATGCAAAATGGGCAACACATATTCCTTTTCATTTTCTTCATACAAAATAGGTAAATTTGGATGGGTTTTAGTGAACTGGGTTGGATGACCAGAATCTGACTCAAAAATTTTTTTAGGCTGAAATTAATAAAAAATTATGAATTTGTATCGATATTTTTAAGGATACAAACCAATACGTATCATAAGATACATATCAACCTATCGAAAAGTTTAAGATATACTCTCTGATACGTATCGTTGACGACCCGTATCGAATCATATCGTAGTATACTAATAACCATGATACAAACAGACAAAAATTACACAAAATTTACATAAAATGACTACTATATCTTTTATTTTGTCTGTTTATATGACTCAGAACTCAGTTGCAAACATAACATTGCCCTTTTAGTTAAATTCCCTTCAAATTCGAGGAAGGGCCTATCCAAGAGCTACATTTGTTGTTGCCATGATTTTCGTCGATCATTAATTGTAGGTAACTGGGTATTAGATTTTTCTAACCCAAGCTTTGGTTATTAATACTTGTTACATAAAATCTCTATATATGGAACTATTTAATTATATTGATATTTTACTTATTTTGTTATTTGATGGAAATATGTGACAATTAAAAGACTTGGATTGGGCCTGGTGTGTTCATAAGTTTAAATCCTAGCAGCTGGAATGTACAGAAGATTTGGACCACAGCTTTTATTTAATTTGGATTTTTTTCATATCCTCCACAAAAATAGCTAAATAAAAAAAAAAATTATGCAAGTGATAATATTGAGTGCGAAAATAGCTTGTTATTTATTCTTATATCTTAAAGCCTTTTCTAGTAAATTAACTCTACAAAACTCTTTTTCTATTTTTTTATCCAAACAATATTAAAGCTATATTTTTCACAAGGTATACTCCAACAAACTCTTCTTCTATAAACTCTACTCTGCTCGATTAAGTGATACCAAATGGACCCATAGAATTAAATATAGTAACGAGTTTAAATAATGTCTGTAAATAAATAAAAACAATTACACCTATTTCTAATATAATTTTTCCACTTTTTGACTGAAAGGAAGGTCCCGCGTCTCTTGCTCTGTTTTTAACATACATTGGCACAATATTTTAAAAACTGGACCGTTCGTTGGCCTGATCAAGGGGCTGGTTCGCGAGTTAACCTGTCCAACCGATTGGACCGGTCAATCTGACTGGTATATAACAATCACATTTTTAAACAATTCCATTAATTATTATAAGTTTAAAAACCAGCAAATACATCCCTAAAATTTACCTATAAACCCCTGTAAGTTTAAAATAAAACAAATACACCCTACAAATTTTATTATTAATTATTTTTTTCTCTCTCCCCATCAGGCCATCACTTCCCATCACTTTCTTCTTTCTCATTTTTTAGCTCTCTCTTCCCCACTCCCCGCCACTTTCTTCTTCTTTCTTCTCTTTCTTCTTCCTCTACTATAATTTTTCTCTCCTCTTCTCTTTCTTCTTCATCTCCTCTTTTCTTTCTTCTAATCTTCTTCCTTACTCTCTCTTGTCTCCTCTTCTCTTTCTTCTTCCTTCCCCTCTCCTTACTTCTTCTTCTTTAGCAACAGATTTTAAAACAAGTGAAGAAGAATAGAAGATGAAAATGGAAGATACAATTTGGTTTTTTTTATTCAAATGAAATGGAGAATGAAACGGTGCTGTTTTAGGAATTAGGAATATGAATTTTTTTGGATTAGATACCAAAAAATAGCGAACCGTTTTAAGCCTCGTGCCAGTCGAACTGACGATTTTGTACTGTTCCGTCGGTCCATTACCAGTCCAAAACAGGTTTAATAACATTCCCGATTTTATGTTAACCCGGACCGAAGTAAAGGCCAGCTCCAGGTCGAACCGACCGGTCCGATCGGTCCGATCCAGGTTTTAAAACAGAGCCTACAACTATGCCCGTTAATAAGATTGGGAAATCCCATTCTCGGAAGGTGCACTCTTGTTGAATTAAAAGTTTTCTAAGTCTTTTAAGGAGAGAAAAATTTCCCCAAAAAATGGAAAAATTGGCAAAATCTTCCTTCATCTTCCAGGAAGTTGGCTACTAAGCAATGGTGACCTTTGGTTCCTATATAACTTACGTCACATAATCTCAATTAAGATTTTAACTAATCCTAATTACGATACACATGATTAATCCAGCCTCCTAATAATGCAACAAATGGGCAATTTGTCATGTCTCCTATGGCTTTTCACCTATGCATTCTTAAAGTTTAATCAAATATTGATTTACTAATTCTATATCTACGACCATAAGATCTCACAAAATATTTGTAAAGTCTCCTAGTATAATCGAGTAAAAACCTAAGATCAAAACTTTGTATTAGACAGAATTTTCTCAATGTCAATCCTCATCTAACTCTGCAATCAAGAATTCACAACATTAGAACAAAACTAAGATACAGTACAAGTTTCAAGGATACATTAAACCGTCCATTTCAGATTTGTATTGCATAAATCGTATATGAAACATAAAAGCAAATGTAATTTTGTTTAGTAAGGGTAGTTAATGTAATCCAAAATGATAAAGTAGTTCCATTTCCAGAACACAATGTAAATCATGTGCACCTCAATGACAAGAATAAGAGATTCTCATATGTAGAAAATGCATACACTGTATTGCTTCCATGCTCTCCTCCTTGTAAACACCGAGAGGTGAGCTATGAACAGAAAGAAGCATCTCACCAGGCTTAGGCAACCTCAACATTTTTGAGTCATTCCCATAGATAGCCTTTGGCTGGTAGCCTGTAACCATAACAACCATAAATAGTCACTTGACGAATCAACTGTCTGGATAAATGATTTGATTGTCCCAACAGTTTTCAGGATCTTCCATAACAAAGTTAATGATATCAAGCCACACTGTTGCAACAACTCATAAATTGTCTGAAACAAACAAGCTTATACTTATGGATTTTGTTTCTCCACCAAGTAAGAGTACAAGTAACTAGCTAATCATCACAAATCTTCTGGAGTGTGCAGATGGTTGGGAATTATTATATGCAGCTCAAATAATTTTGCAAGGCCTAGAATAACAATTTCTAATTTGAAATTTTGCAATAAGCTTGTCATGTTTCTTAGGTTGTTTGGCCCTTCAATTGTTTAGAAAATTACAAAATGAACTAATCTCCCAAGTTAACTGTGCGAGCAAAGAAATAAGTGATCATGATCATGAACGGAATAAGTTGGACGACAAAAACAAAATAAAGATAGCATCAAGAAGAAACAAACCCCAGGAGTTCGAAAGGCATCATGCATTCCAAGCATCTGAGAATCACAAGGCTCCTCCAGAAACTGAAATACAGAAATGTCAAATATAGAATATTACAACGAAAAAAGTATTAGTTAAATCTTTATTCTTGAGTGTGAAGGGGCATCTGGAAAAAAAAGTGATTTAGATTGCATGTCTATATAGAATAATCATAAAAACAGAAAAATCAGTAAGAAATCAAGGAAACCATTTTTGTTGAGATTAAAATTTGAGGAAATGGAAGAGGTTAAAAAAATGAAAATCCTACCTAGTGGCAAGAAGAATACAGAAAGAACATACAAAGCCTGTGATCTGCAGGTTATCAGCACCTAGAACCCTTGTTTTAACTGCCACCAATAACATATATCCAGGTGAAACACAAACAAAGCAAAAGCGATAGTTCTAAATATCAATTAGGACAGTTAATTCACCATTACCAGATTTGATTGAGAACTAGCCACCAAAAGATGGAACAGCAGAGCAAAAAGGATAAGCAATGGACATCCTATGCAGCAGAGCAGTATGCAGATCTCTTCCATCAGCATTGTAAATACATGAATTACCATCTTTATCATTCCATTGCACTTCAAAATGCCCATTTTCTTCGTTTCTTACAATTGAAAGGTCTGCAAGTTTTTCTTTGAAAAATTGAATCACGGGGGTTTTCAAGCCGTTCCTCATTGAAACATGATCTCAGTAAACGCAAACCAGTGAGTGTATGTTCAATCTCCACATCACGAATTGGACAAAATAATTTTAACCCAAAAATAATAACTATAATCCAAATCAAACTCAAACCAACACTGAATGAAAATCAACACATTCCAATTAATCAAAATCATTTCTACCTACTCCTTCATCACAAATATTAAATCAACAATCCTACAAACAAATAAACAACCAAGAAACAGCTTCAACTCAACAAGAAAAAAAAAAAAAAAAAAAAAAAAAATTACAATTTTTATTTTTTGTTAGAACACCACCAATTGCGTCCTTTTGGGGTTAAGGCTCTCAATGGCGAATCGATCATTCAACATCCTTTGATTTTTAAAATGAAGAGGACGGAATGGAAGAAAAGCAATGAAACCTGCGATGGCTACCGAATAACCTCCTCTGACTTTCTCAATAATAAAGCCTTTGACCTTTGTATTCGTTCGCCAAATCTTGTTCAGTTCCATCCAAGCTCGCTCTTGTCTGAATTTTCGTGGAAGAAGAAGAAGCGGCTCACCAGCCACTACATCTGTGGATCCCACCAAATCAGTAAACCTGGCGGCTGCTTGCTCTTTGATCAGTGATTCACCGGCCACTAGATCGATGAAGAATCTCTCCAACATCTTCTCTCTGATCAGTGATTCACGGGCCACTAGATCCTTAAATCCCACCATATTCTCAAACCTGGTGGCTCGGTTGATTGGCACGCCTGTAAGCTCATCTTGCATACAAATTTTGGGGGTCCCAATTCCTGCATCCACCAAGAACATTTTGTCCCTTAAGCGAAAAACTTCAGATTGTAAGGCGTTTCCACTACATAAGAGAAAACTTGAATTAGATCTTGGAAATAATCGACTCAAGTAGATGCTCATCGTATGGCTTTTAGATTTTCTTTTTAGTGTTTTGACGAGAGAAAGGGTAACTAAGAAAAATCGAGAGAAAATTAGATTTTGACAAGGAAAAAACAGGAGAAAATAAGCATGTTCTTTGTTTTGTGAGGAAAGAGGCAAACCTAACCCTAATTTTAGCGGTTGAGATTAGCTCTATCCGTACACGTGTAATGTTCGTAGCCGTGCGCTTGACCAAAATTTGCTTTTGGTTAGATGTGATGCAATCAGTGATTTGGTTTGCAAAAAGTTGCAAGTAAAGAAATACAACCTTACAGTGAAACTGCAAAGTGGCGCTCATCATGCTTTGTATTAGCTCACTAAAAAGCTTGTTAGGAAAACCAGTGAGACAAAACATGGTGAAGGAAAAAAGAGTATAGTACACATATGTCTAATATAATAGTTCTTTCTAAAACTCCACCTAGTTGATGTTCTCCTTAATGATCAATGCTCCCCCTCATAATGACAAAATTTAACCTAGTTACTTGTTAAGTCGTCGTATACTGATGTCATATACTAAGTTTTCAAATATTGATGTCGGTAGGGTCTTAGTAAATAAATGTACAAGATTATCACTAGAGTGTATTATTAACATCAATCTATCGATTTTGCTAGAGTTTATGAGTATAAAAAAACTTCGGTGAAATATGCTTAGTTTTGTCTTTGATATATCCTCATTTGACTTAAGCAATACATGTTGTATTGTCTTCATTTATAATTATACGAGTATCTAAGGTATATGGTAACTTACATATATTCTTGATATGATGGATGACAGATCTTAACCATACACATTCTTGGTTGGCTTCATAAAGCGCAAGTATCTCAGACTGATTAGAAGAAATGGCAACCATTATTTGTTTTATAGAGCGCCATGATATTTCAGTGTCATTCTAAGTAAAAGCATATCTCGTTTGCGAGTGGGCTTTGTGGGGATAAAAAATACCGAACATCTACATATCCAATTAATTTATGATTATTAAAATGTATGTTTCTTTGGATAAAATAATCTCAAGCCTTTTGTTCCATCAATGTAACGAAAGATATGTTTGATCCAATTCCAATGTCGGTGAGTTGGTCAAAGCTAAATCTTGTCGGCAAATTTATTGTAAATACGATTTTTGGTCTCGTACATTATGCTAAATATAATATTGCACCTATTATATTCAGATATGGTATTTCAGGACCAAGTATCTTTTCATCATCTTCCTTATGATGAAATTGATCTTTCTTAGGATCAAGAGACCGAACTACTATTGGGGTACTGATAATCATATTTTACACTATGATTTTGCATTGAATTTTGATAGGATTTAGGATACTTTTCATACAATTTGGGCTATAATTGCTACCTAATTCTATTAATTTGTCTTTGCAGGCCTAAACGGTAATTTTTAGCATAAATGACAGTTTTGAGCGTAAATTGTGTAACTTGAGCTTGGAAACTCGGAATGACCTGAATTTAGAAGCTTTGGAAAGCTAAGAAGAAGAGATGCAACTTTCATGTTTTGGGTTTTTCCTAATTCCGACTGGAAAAGGGTGAAAACTTGGCTTGAAGTTGTGAAAAGTACGCTAGGAACTGAAGAAAAATGTCTTTGGATGTGCTTTAGTATTTCTGCCATAACTTGAGATGTAGACCTCGGATTGTGCTGATTCTTTAATGAAAGGAAAGATAATTGAAAGGGCTACAATTCATATGTTTAACACTTTTTCAGATTCAGACTCTATCATGCTCATATTTGGCCCGAAAGTCTTCACCGCGGTGACCTGCGTCAGATTTAAAAATAAAACGACGCGTTTGGCTTGCTAGGGCTTGATCCTTAAGTGAGAGAGATATAAATTAGAGCGAAAAAGGAAGAGAAAGAGGCTTGGTTCGTCATTTGGGAGACAGCTCATGGAAAGAGGAGATTATTGAAGATTTGAGCTTCAAATTAGAGAAGATTTCTCCATCTTTTGCTTGTTTTTCAATGATGAATCTTGATTCAGTTTGTTTCTATTATTTTATTTTGTTTTTGACTATGAACTGAGTTGTTTAGCTAGGGTTTGATGTAATCTTGATACAATGATTCAAATTTATATGAATTGATTTAATTTGAGTTTTAATTTTATGATTGAGTGTTTATCTCTTTGCTTAATGATTTTTGGATGCTTGATCACCATTCAAATGTGTGTTGTTCACAATGAGACTGAGAAGTGATTTGTGATTGTGCCTCTTGGGATAAATACCATAGATAAAGCAAACGCTAGAGATAGGTTTAGCGATCTACGAAATCTAGATAGAATTCCATAAAGCTTAAACACTTTGAACTATTAATCTTCATTTTGTTGGGTGCGGAAGGTTAATAAGGATAAGCAGGGAAATGTAGCCTGAGAAGGTATGTTTTAAAACTTAGGGAATTCGATTTTCAATCAAGGAATTAGAACTCGGGTAATAGATTCTATGATTTGGGTTAGCGTATTTAGGTGAAATCAACACCCTAGCATTTTTTTTAGCATTGTTTAATTAGTTAAGTTGGTGGGTTTTGCTTTAATTTCATATTCATTCATTTATATTTTTGTTAATTTGTATTTAGTTGTTAATTTTCCATCAATCCAATTTATTGTTTCTTCAATTAGGACTTAAACTAGGGAAATCGGTACTTAGTAACACTATCCTCGTGGGAACGATACTCTACTCATCATTATATTACTTGTGCGATTAGTATACTTGCTACATATTACATGTTGTAGGAAACACGCATTAAGTACTCAAGGAATGAGGATTATCCATATTAAAGCTCTTTAGGATCTTTTTAGTATAATTTGACTAATGGAGCAGTATTCCATTTGAACAATGCTAAATCTGCAAGCCGAGACAATATTTTGTTTTCCCTTGATTCTTCATTTCAAATTCTCTTTTTAAATACTCAATAGCTTTTTTGAGTTCTTCAAGAGTTCCAATTAAGTTCATGTCATCGACATATATTGCCACAATGGCAAATCATGATTTTGACATTTTTTTTTTTATAAAAACACATGGGCATATAGGGTTATTAATGTATCATTCCTTCATCAAATTTTCACCGAGATGATTATACCACAATCGCCCTGAGTATTTAAACCCATATAACGATCTATGCAATTTTATTGAATATATGTTCCTTTAACTTACTTTATTTGCTTTTGGCATTCTGAATCCTTTAGGGATTTTCATATAGATATCAGTATCTAGTATACCATACAAATATGCAATAATAACATCCATGAGATGCATATCAAGTTCCTCTTAGACTAATAAACTAATTATCTAAACATGATCCATCCATCACTAGTGAATATGTCTCATCAAAAGTCAATTCCGAGTCTCTGCAAGAAACCTTGAGCCATGAGTCTGGCCTTATACTTAGTAATCTCATTTTTCTCATTTCGTTTTCTTGTGTATACAGATTTGTACCCTACTGGTTTAACATTTTCAAGCGTTTGAACTACAGGTCCAAATACATTACGTTATACTAGAAAAGTTAATTTTGCTTGAATTGCTTCTTCCGATTTTGGCCAATCATGTTTTTTCCAACACTAATCGAAAAAATGTGGCTCAAAATCATAATTAATAAATTCAATAGCTATTGCAAATAAAAATATGTCATCAACGATAATTGTCTCCACATTTCTTTTTATATGAGCATAGTTTATAGAGATTTATTAATTTCTATGTTCATGTATTTCTTCAGGAATTTGTTCCTCTTTAAGGGCTTGTGTCTTTTCAAGGAGTATTAACTCTTCTGGAGTTAGTTTAGAAGATGTGGAATTGTCTATTATCCTAATATTGTTAATATTGATATCTATTTGACTCTTTGCCTTTCGTTTCCCAGGAATAATATCCTTGGCTCCAACAGGTCTACCACGCTTTACCATGTAACAGATGAATCGATTACTGCCCGAATGGAATGTTCATTGGTAACATCAATATCCTTGTTGGTGTATTGATAGAAGGAATGCATGATCTTGTTACTTTCGTTGCATCCATAAATGGGACATAGAATTTACTTTCCAAGGAAGTTCAGGCTTTGCTTTAAGAGGCTTTACCTTTTTCCTTAAAGACGGAAATATTGTCTCATTAAAATGGAAATCCGCAAAACGTGCAGTAAACAGATCACCTCGACAAGGACTTAAGATATCTGATGATAGACATTGAATTATAGTCGACATATATTCCCAAATGACAATGGGTCCCATTTTTGTGCGTTGAGGGGGTGCAATTGGAACTTGCACAACACAACCAAAAGTTTTTAAATGAGATATATTAGGTTGATGTCAAAATAGAAGTTGTATTGGGAAGTAACGATGATATGCAACGGGTCTTAGGCAAATTAACGCCACAACATGTAAAACAACATGAGTCCAAGCAAACTAACGCTACGCTTGCAAACCATTCTAGGTATGTACATGTGGTACTGGGTGCTCAACATCAATTCCCATTGATATGCAATAGTCATCTAATGTTTTTGAGGAAAACTCACCATCATTGTCTAAACATATTGTTTTAATCAGATAATCTAGAAAGTGTGCCCGTAATCTCATGATTTATGCCAGCAATCAAGCAAAGGCAACATTACAGATTCACAGTAAACAAACATGTGACCATCATGGCGATATGTTAATCAATACCATAAAGGTTGTGTTTGGATCGGGGGAATATAAGATAACGAGGGTACTCTTCATTTATTTTACAAGAATCCGGTGTTTGGTTTGCAAGTAATAAAATATTACGGAAATCTTTTATTGCAAATAAGGGTCATTTGGATTGGGTGTATATAAGATAACAGGGGTAATCTTCGTTTATTTTGCAAGATTCCAGTGTTTGGTTTGCAAATAATAAAATATTACAGTAATCTTTCATTGTAAATAGTGTTTACTATTGGTAATGTGAGGGGTAATCTTACTACCTTGCTAGGAGGTGTTACTAAAACACTCCAGCCACAAAAAAGTTTAAAAGTTAACAAAATACCCCTAACCACCCAAGACCACCGCCAGTCGCTGGCTTTAGTAGCCGTAATGGTGCACGACCGGCAAGATCTAGTCAGTCATGCG